CTATTTTCCCTTCCCAAAACACCCATACTCTGTTTAGCCAATTGATACCAGGTACCATTACTATTTGTACTTTTACACTTTTGACTTGAACAATTTTGGGTGGGAACCGTTGCAATGGTGTTCCATTTTTTTTTTTGGAGCGCAAACAAAGTCGAAGAATTGTGAACTGCTGTAGAAATTGGCAAATCTGTACATGTAATTTGCATCTATTCTCATCTGATCCCCAGCACATATCTTAGCTCCCAAAACAACATATGTAATCGTTTGAGGACCACTGAAAATATAACATTATATCCACTCTCACATTCGTCGTGGAATTCTTATAATTTATTAACAAAAAAATTTAGATACCGCTTTACGCGATCGAACATTAATTTCGGTCTGTCAGGAAACACAGCTCATAAATTTTGAGGACAACGCGCTTCCCGCTAATGGCCTTTCTTCTCCAGCGCAATTTGGTACTGGCATTAGCCTACTTGCGCTCTTAGATAAACAAAGAAAGGGGAATCTTTCTGGTCGACTTTAATTATAGATTTTTTTCTCTTATGCAATTTATTTTATTTAAAGTGACAGACCCCCGGCGCTTTATTTATAAGTTTAAACGATTTAATGCACACTTTAAATGCGATAATGATTTAGATCGGTTTCAAGTGTTCATTATTCATTTTGATAAATCTATTTGCAAATTTCTTTCGAACTTCTCGTTATTTATCTAAACGTTCGCGTATGTTTCATTTTACCTACACCTTAATATCGATAAGTAATGGAGAATGATGGAATCTTTCTATTTTGGTACAGCTGTCAACGATGTTTCCGAAACAATGATGGATGAAGTATTTTACTTCTAAACTATTCCTGAAAGTAGACGCGGAATGAAAAAGCGATGTTTTGTCCCCTATACTTTATCTACTGGTAGGAATATGCGCCTTTTCCCAAAACAATATTGTGCCTATTCTCTTTGTCGTAAGTGTATATCCCTTAAATTGTTGTTGAATTCGATATGTGAAGCGTTTTAGGCTTTGATGGAGCTGTTATTGACAGACCTGTTTGCTTTTTTCCGATGTGTATATGTAAAAAATCTTAAGAATTGATTGCAAATCTTTTTCCAATCCAATAAGAGCTATAACAAATGAGAGTCAAAGTTCTCTGTGGCTGATTTTAAATTCAGGATCGTGGAAAGAATTGCAGTCTCCTTGCCTTTTGCTAAAGTAGAAAAATGAGTCGTTTTTTTTAGTGTAGATGAAAAGGGTTAGTCAGGTTCTAGGTTCTGATACAGTAACCGCCAGTTATGCGCAGTTTTTTAAACTTGTTACAGCAAAAAAATGTTTACATCTACATTTATTTCTAAAGGGGGACTCATAAATAACTAAGGGACCAACGGCTAGCTCTGTATGAAAATTTTTTTTGCACAATCGGGCGTTTTTGACATCATGCAAGATATGATAGGAAGGTTGTAAGTCATACTTACCACCGTACTCCAATCCTTACGCTAAATAACTGTCGTGATCTATCTTGTTGTTGAGTTAACTTAGAATGGGGTTGAATCGGTCAATAAAGGGAAACAGTACTTAATGTAACTCTTCAGGTAATGTTTAGCTGTTTAATTACTTTTATATTTATTTTACTTTATTTGTAGCCTGGTGATGGCATTGTCTTTGTGCCGAAACTAGTAGCGTTTACGTCTCTTATTGTTCCTATTCTTTAATCAACGTCAAGTCTTAAGTTAAATGTAATTTCATTTGGAAAAAAAGCATGCACAATTAACAACAAAGAGATATGAGCAGAATGTATGTTAAGTATGGTTGTAGACAGAGCTGGGCAGTATTCGATTTTGTAAATACTTTTTAGTATTCAAATTCTTTAAAGTATTCAAATACTTTGTAATTAAATACTTTTATGGAAGCAGTATTTGTATTTGTAACTCAAATACTTTCACACATATTTAGTATTCGAATACTTCGCAAGGTATTTGAATACTTTGAGAAATTTTTGAATACTTAACCTTCCTTTTTTACCAAAAATCGACTACACCAAAAATTCTCGGGAAAACACTTTTTCTTATTAATTTTAGTGCGTAGAATCCAAAACAATTCGTACTTTTTCGGTCAGACTTCTCAATCAAAAGTTATGGACTAGAAACCAATTTCGAAAGAAAATTCAAAGGGCTGTAACTTTTGAACTAGTAGCCCAACCTCGGAACTGTTTGAAATTATGGATTCCACAGGCCACATTCTATAAGAAAATTGTTTTTCCGGGTCGATTTGAGACAATTTTTTTTGAGGGCCTCAAAAAAAGGCAGTATTTTACCTTCCTTTTTAACCAAAAATAGACTGCACCAAAATTTCTCGGGAAAACACTTTTTCTTATTAATTTTGGAGCGTAGAATCCAAAACAATTCATACTTTTTCGGTCAGACTTCTCAATCAAAGGTTTTAGACTAGAAACCAATTTCGAAAGAAAATTCAAAGGGCTGTAACTTTTGAACTAGTAGCCCAATCTTGGAACTGTTTGAACTTATCGATTCTACAGGCCACATTCTATAAGAAAATTTCCGGGTCGATCTGAGAAAAAATTTTTTTGGGGCCTCAAAAAAAAGGCAGTTATTACCTTCCTTTTTTGCCAAAAACCGACTGCACCAGAATTTCTCGGGAAAACACTTTTTCTTATTAATTTTGGTGCGTAGAATCCAAAACAATTCGTACTATTTCGATCAGACCTCTCAATCAAAAGTTATAGACTAGAAATCAATTTCGAAATAAAATTCAAAGGGCCGTAACTTTTGAACTATTAGCCCAATCTTGGAACTGTTTGAAATTATGGATTCTACAGGCCACATTCTATAAGAAAATGTTTTTTCCGGGTCGATCTGAGACAATTTTTTTGCGTGCCTCAAAAAAAGGCAGTGTATTTACCTTCCTTTTTTACCAAAATTCGACTACACCAAAATTTCTCGGGAAAACACTTTTTCTTATTAATTTTGGTGCGTAGAATCTAAAACAATTCGTACTATTTCGATCAGACATCTCAATCAGAAGTTATAGACTAAAAACCAATTCCGAAATAAAATTCAAAGGGCCGTAACTTTTGAACTAGTAGCCTAATCTTGGAACTGTTTGAAATTATGGATTCTACAGGCCACATTCTATAAGAAAATTTTTTTCCGGGTCGATCTGAGACAATTTTTTTTTCGGGCCTCAAAAAAAGCAGTGTATAACCTTCCTTTTTTACCAAAAATCGACTGCACCAAAATTTCTCGGGAAAACACTTTTTCTTATTAATTTTGGTGCCTAGAATCCAAAACAATTCGTACTTTTTCGATCAGACTTCTCAATCAAAAGTTATAGACTAGAAACCAATTTCGAATGAAAATTCAAAGGGCTGTAACTTTTGAACTAGTAGCCCAATCTTGGAACTGTTTGAAATTATGGATTCTACAGGCCACATTCTATAAGAAAATGTTTTTTCCCGGTCGATCTCAGACAATTTTTTTTCCGGCCTCAAAAAAAGGCAGTACTTTTAAGTTATTCAAATATTTGAGAACAATTTAGAAGTGTTTAGGGAAAGTTTCCATTGTCACAAAACCAAATATAAAAATCCGATACATCTGAATACCGAACTCGATAGTCTACGTAACTTAAAAACAATAGGGACCTTTCTTATATCCTTAAGACCATGTGTACCAATTTTCAAAGCGATCGCACGTTTCTAAACAAACTATCATGCACACGGACAAACGGATGGTCAAAAATGGATCTGTTCCAAAATCGCTAGGATTAATTTCAGAAAGGCGTACGTATCATGTGCACGACGACTGGTACACGTATTCTTAAGGATATAACTGGTATAAGAAAGGTCCTGGTAGGTACCTCCTATATAATAATATAATAATAATAATACGCTTTTACTCCCCTTAAATTTGTATATAACAATAGAAATATAAAAAAAGCTAACCCCATACAAAGTATAACTTGATTTTTTAAGTAGTATCATTGAATTTGATAGTTTTAAATTCAATGGTAGTATTAAGACTTTTATCTAGTATACTATTTTAAATTTTTAATGTATTTGAGTGTCAAGTATTTGAATACTTTTTACTGTATTCGAATACTTTTGAAAGTATTCGAATATTTTCTAAAGTATTTGAATACTTATTTTTTTAAGTATTTGAATACTTTTCAATGTATCTGTATCTAGTATTCGCTTGTGCTGGACGTAAAAGTATTTTGTATTCAAATACTTTTTGAAAGTATTCTGCCCAGCTCTGCCCAGAGGGCAGTTATTGTGGAAACAAATTTGCAATGTTTCAATGACCGCTAACGAGCATGATGCAAGGAAGCGTAGGACGTGGTAGTACATGGAGGCCTTGACGTCATCTTAATGAAACAAGACCTAGGAATTATTTAATTCAACGAATGACGAATGAGTATAGAGGAAATGCTGCATCTAATTATTTCTGCTTATTGAGTATGCGAAGCAATCTTTTTTTACCTATTTCACAAAATCCATTAATTACGTTGGCTTAATACTTACGGTATTTAGTTTGAAGTGAAGAAGTTAAATTGAATTAAGAAAGCGGCCGGGGTGAGCGAGAGGTTCATCTGCGGCAAAAAGATCCTTTTCAACAAATCTTGGTAAATTCGTTTATTTAATTAATGTTTACTGTTTCTTGCATTTTGTATAGAACCTCCGCTCAGGGCCACTTATATTATGTACCAAACTTGGTTTGTATTTAAGCACCCCTAATAATAATGTCGGGCGATTTTTTTCATGTATTTTTATTTTTTTGTGTCCGTACCATGGATTTTTAAGCGTACAGTACTTTCCAAAGCTCCTTGCAAACAGTAGTAAGTAGTAAGGATCCTGTAAGGAACCTTACTTTGTAGCGTGAAAAGGATAGATTTTAGTTAATGTGTTCATGGTCATTGAAATGAAACTGTCTGCAATCATTTTAGATCACCCGGTATTAACACGATTGCATAGGCTTCAGGTCCCTGACGAATGTTCCGCCTATGGCAACACCACTACCAACAAAAATCAGCTGAGATTCCAGACAAAAGTTACTAAATACCCTAGCTCGCTAGGGAACCGTCAAAATGCTTATAATAAAAACGAAAAATATTCAAATACCTGAATGAAAAACCATTGGAATGCATACATTTTTTTAGATACATAGAAACATGGTATGCTCCGTTTTGCTATGAATTCATATTTTTGTAAATACAATTTAACCTCTCTTGTAGTCGCAGACTGATAAAGAATCTTTAGTAGCACTAGAACATTTGATGGAAGAATTTTTTACCCATTCTACGAGTAATGGTAGGAAGCACGATATCGAAACCCAACTTAATTCGTTTAGTAGTCAGAGGGACTGTTGGAAACTATGCGTATATTTCTTAACGCATACTTCTAGTCAATACGTATCTATGTACTCTCTCTCCACTATTGAGGTAACATTCTGACGTGTACTGCGAATATAGTACAGATTAAATGTGTTGTAGTCTGTGATAAATCGACAATGGGTGGCTTTAGAATGGGAACATCGAGTTCAACTCAAAAGTGCTCTTTACAATTATCTAATGGAGCAAGGTCCCACCGCTCCTCATTTTCTTAGGAATAAGTTGGCTAAATTAATTGTAGACATAGCGAGACTGGACTGGCCGCATTTTTTTCCTGAATTTCTAACAAACATAATTCAGGTTTGTGCCTCTAGCGAGGGAGCGATTCGCGGATCCACAAAATGTGCACAATTATTCTTTTTGATGTCTGGTTTATTTGTGAGTTTATGAAGGCTTGACTCAATTGTACTTGACTTCACAGGAAATGTAGGGAGTTTTAAAGGTTAGAGGTTAGAGAAACCACAAAGCACTTTGTAGTAAGGGCTACTGCATAGGAATTAAACTTGTCCTCCTCTTTGATTAGATTGATTTGCTTCATCTGCTGGGAGATATTTTTCTTCCTACCTAATCAATAAGAGAGCAAGACAAGGGAGTATACAGGCCCCTGGCCAGGTGGGGCTTGAGCCCCACCTAGAACGTGGTCTTGCCCCCACTGGAAATTACGGTTGATGGTTCCTTTACAAAAATTACAGGGGAAGTTTTTATCAAAAACTTCTTAAGCCCCACTTGGAAAAATGCCGGCCACCCCTGCTACTTCATTCTGGCTATTGTTTCCTTGGAAACATTGGTATTAAGTTCATGTGCAGTATTGTCACTGTTCTAAAGCAGTTGGGACAACTATTTCTTACTGTCTTAAATGAAAGACGTACAGGGTGTTTCAGAACGAGTAGGCTTGCATGGGTAGTAAAATTTCTTTTGGATTAACAACAATAATAGTAAATGTTTTTAGTAGGTCTCGTAAGTTTAATAAGGAGAAACAATATATTAGGTGAGATTCAGTAATGAATTATACATACTATTTTGAAGATTTTTCTTGTAATAACGTTGTTACACTCTAGAAAGGGCTGAATGAAATATATAAACTGAACTTTAGATTAGATTTTTATTCTTTGCTGGCTGAATATTTTTGATTCTATGTAACTTAGAATAAAATGGTCTTAACAACAGTATAGGTACTTAGAACCCCTTTAGATACAATAAACGAAAATTTCCATAATTTGTAGAATTATAAAAATAAGTAGGTCTGGAGCAATATGTTGTTAGGATCACTAAAAAGAGCCTATTAAAGTCATGGGCAACTATGATTTCCATTAGAAAGCACACAGGTTTGTCTCAATGTAAAAATTAAGCATAAATAAAAAATTGGATTAAACTGTATCATTCAGTCCATAATTATCTACAACTGTTTCTCTACAGATTGTAAAAATCAATAAAATCTAGTTCGCTGTGCATTTTTTTCTAAAAACCAAAAGCTCATTAAACTGAGCTATCTATTTAAGATCCCCATACTAAATTTCAGAAAAAACTCACCCTGTATAGAATTTTGAAGGAGAACACATCAAGTGGTCGCATTTAAATCCTTCAAAAGGAGGTTCCGGAAGGGTTGGGATACTTCTTCCATAAAATAAAGAGTGGAACATCTCTTTATGGAGTTGAATGTAACTGATTTTCACATAATGGGTCTTATTGGAAGGAGTTCTCCTCCTGTAATCAGATTTTACATGAATAGAGTATTTTTAGTAAACTCTACTCAGGAAACATATCAACCTGAGGTTTATACTGTAACTTAGTTGTTGCAGGTAACTTAGCTGCTTGAAAGTAACCTACATTTTAGTTACTTTCCAGCTCTGCTTAAGTCTCCTTGACTAAAAAAGAGAAACGTCCATTTTCACCCGTTGAACCTAGGTTAAATGAAAACGAAATTTGACATTACAGTTTTTGGTGATTTTCAAAGATTTTTCAAAAATTTCAAATGCGTTTTTTTAATCACAAAAAGAGGTCAACTCTGGCCCTACACTATATCTCTAACCGTTATCAGACATTGAAATGGTGAGCCCAGAATTTGAACCACCCTGTACAGTGTGCGAACTTCCAAAAATTACTAGAAGTATCAGATATTTTTAATAATAATAATAATAGTCTCTATTTGGTATTTTAATGGAAAAGCATAACGTTCCAAAAGAAAAGGTTTAAATAAAATTTTAAAAAAAGGAAAATAACTACTTTCAGAAACCAAACCACAACGGGAGGTTGAGTACAAACTGCTCTTTCACCAAAATGAGGACATATTTATACATAATAAAATTTTAGTTTGACTACACAAAGGTACTTTACTGTTTTTGTAATAAAAGTTTTCTGGAGGTTCCTACGAAATATTGAAAGTGGCATTTTAATGTGGGACCCTAAATTGCGAATCGCCCCTCAGTCTCTGTCGGTCAATCCAAGTCTAACTTCTATGCTTGCAGCTGCTGCAATCGAACGACGGTCAGCTGTTGGGTTTGGTTATGCTACACATTACAAGCGAAGAGTTCATGAGCTCCAGGCCCGATCTCAGCAGTTATCGTAAAGACGAACTAACCAAGCTACTGCAACAGAACATTCCACAGATATTCCAGATATTGTGCACAATTTTACAGAACCTAGGTATAAAACCGCGTCACGCCGCTACTGCCACGCCGCCGCCGTCACCTACGCAGCCGGGAGCGGCGCCCGTTCTCACCCGCGAATTAATCAACGCCTCGTTTCGGCCTGACAACAAGTTTGTTACCCGTGAATGTTTGGGTACCATTCAACATTTGTTTACCTGGGCGGATTTGGCCGCCGTTCCGCTACCGTTAATTAAAAACATCTTTTATTTCACCAATATTTCGACCTATGCACAGGTGAGTGTCGAATCCGAGGGGGGGGGGTGCCACTGCTTTAAATACATGTACAAAATGTAAAAAATATCTGCCTAGTCTACATAATGGCACATCGCCAACCGAAACTGAGGTGTGTTTGTTATAGGACGACGACGATATGTGCGTCCTTGCGATGTCGGCGTTGAACGAATTGTTTTATCGCAAGTGCTCCCCTCCGGGTACCCAGAACCTATTCACGCAATTATACCATCATACAGTACAATTACTACGTGATATTGTATGTCCGAACTCGTGTAGAATTGAAACTTTAGGAAATGAGTGAGTACCACGCCTGGTGTAACATTCGCAAGCGCTATTAATACCGTTTGTAGTTTCGTAGATAAACTATCGGAACTTTTAGCGCTACTAGTCGAGCAACATTTATGGAGACTCGAAGCCGAACCAGGGTTTTCAGCCTTAGACTTCTTATCACTTTTATATCAGCTCACCATTCAATTGCCTTCGTTGCGGTGCTACCTACGCTGTCTGACAGTGTGGGTCGCCTTTATTAAACAATTAAAACCGCAGAATACTCATAAGTAAGTATATTCTTGAGGTAACACTCAGTTAATTAGTTAATCTATCACCAATATCTTGTAATTAGAAAAAGGTGGAGTTGTACTCTACCTATATTTCTTGCTAATATTTATGTGAACAAGTAGAGAAATAACAGTTCCAGATCTCCCGCAAGATGGCACGCTTTTTCAAGGCCTGCAATTTCTACACCATGTTTGTGATATGTTTTCACAAATGAAATTCCCCTCATGGGACGTTAACTGTTTCTATCTCCATTAGTGAAACACCAACAATGTTCAGTATGAATTGTGAATGTTTACTTACTTACTCTAAACCACGCTCATACCTTTGATAGCACTGGACTAGTCTTAAAATTCATGTTAATTATGCGCGTTTCATTTGACACCAAGCCTACATCAAATAAATGGATGATGTAGATATACTACAACACATTTAATTAAGTACAATTAATTATACTCGCTCAATTGGCCGAGTTGAAATGTCTAAATTCGATGACCTAATTAACATCTATTGTTACATGGAATTTCGGGTCAATCGCAAAAAAAACCATAGAAGATACGATGGTCAAATAAGCGAATAGTTGCTGTGGTTGTTGTGGTGCGTCTGTGTCTATTCAGATGCATTATTAAACCGATCCTTTGTAGCACATTTTTCGCAAACTTATGTGTAAATAGGTAGCTTTTAATCTCACTTTGGCCGGCCAGCTGACGGGCTCGCTGGCAGCAAATGTAGAAGAACGCTTGTAGAAAGACGAGGAGTATACGTGCAGCTGGCGGGGCCGTGAAATTGACAACTTTGGGGAGGGGGTTACATGATGTGGGCTCGGCATCTGGGCGCCATCACCGAGCATGTTATACTACCGGGGTGATTTTTCAGTTTTCTTCCTATCTCCTTCTACAGTTTTGATCAGGAGTTTTTTTGTGTTTTTCATCTTCTCTGAAAAATACCATTTGATCTGAACCCCCTTTATTCTGTGGAGCTATCTATGCAGTTTCGTTTCGTACATATATGCTGCTCAATTTTTTTAAAACCTTTAACAAACAGGGCATACTTTTCCTTTATCAGCTTGTACCAATGGTATTGTGTTCATTCATCTTATTTTATCTTCAGTCAGTATTAATTGTATAAATTTCAGGTACTCTGAAGCCTTGCTAGGTTTAGTAAGTGTAGTATTGAATAAAATGCAGTTTACGTACAACTTATCTCAGTTAGAAGAGATGGACAACGAGCCTTCGGATGAGGTAGGTGTCTAATCTCGTTTTTTCTTTGTAAGTAACTCAATGTTAGCAGAGCGAAACCGAGTGGGAGGTTTTTCTGAATACATCGGTGGAGGTAATCGCTATGGTTGCAGAATATGCGCCAGTGGACACTTTTAATGAAGTGGTAAGTTTAAATCGGCATACAAAGGCCAAATTCACAGTTCTGTTTTTACACAGTTGCTGAAATGGAGAGCGGCAAACGATGTGTACTGTTTATTGGAAAATGCCATAGACGATAGAAGTTGCGCACTGAAAATTGAACCGTCAGAGAATGTAAGACTGCATTGTATTCTTAGGGACTTATCATCTTTAACGCAAACACTTGCGAGACTGTCTTCTTTGTTTACAGATCAAGGTATGTTTATGCAGCAAGTACATGATTGAGTTTATGTCCTTGAATTTTTAGATAATGATTACTATAACAGTTCTGCACCAATAATTGATAGTTTAGTTAATAGTTTGATCAAAAGTGCCTTGGTAGCTGCGAATGGCAGTTTCCATCTTTTAAAATCAAGACTTAATGCGGATTTTGTTGAAGTGTAAGTAAGGAGTACTTTTGTTACAGGTTTATCACACTTTAAAATCCAAATAATGAACAAAATTTTTTAATTACTCCAAAAGGTTTGTCAACTGATTTTTCAAATTAAGAAAATTCATTTCTTTTTTTGTTTCATGGAGGTATCGACAGTTTCCCAGTCGGCATTGCGTATTCAATTGTTTACATTCAAAAATTAAAACTTCTTTTGGGGTCTGCGATAAATATAAAAATCGGTAATTGGTCTTAAAATTAAAATTAAGGAGGAGCGCTTTTTTTGAGACCACTCACGACTTAATCGGAGGCTGTTTACTGCAACTAATTTACTTATCATCTAATGGCTATTTATACTACCAAATTGCTGGAATTTCGGAGAAATTTTAAAGGGCTGAGGGCTGTCGGATGCTAGAAAAATAATTTACATATATCCACAGAACAGAGCTGGGCAGAATACTTTCAAAAAGTATTTGAATACTAAATAGGAAATACTTTACACAAATCAAAGGTATTTGAATACAAAATACTTTTACGTCCAGCACAAGCGAATACTAGATACAGATACTTTGAAAAGTATTCGAATACTTGTCACTCAAACACATTAAAAATTTAAAATAGTATACTAGATAAAAGGCGTAATACTACTTAAAAAATCAAGTTACACTTTGTATGGGGTTAGCTTTTTTATATTTCTATTGTTATATACAAATTTAAGAGGAGTAAAAGCGTATTATTATTATTATATTATTATATAGGAGGTACCTACCAGGACCTTTCTTATACCAGTTATATCCTTAAGAATACGTGTACCAGTTTTCAAAGCGATCGTACGTCGTGCACATGATAGGTACGCCTTTCTGAAATTAATCCTAGCGATTTTGAAACAGATCCATTTTTGACCATCCGTTTGTCCGTGTGCATGATAGTTTGTTTAGAAACGTGCGATCGCTTTGAAAATTGGTACACATGGTCTTAAGGATATAAGAAAGGTCCCTATTGTTTTTAAGTGACGTAGACTATCTAGTCAAAAAGTTTCATTCCAGGATCGTTCGGTATTCAGTTGTATCGGATTTTTTTTAAATTATTCTCAAATATTTGAATAACTTAAAAGTACTGCCTTTTTTTGAGGCCGGAAAAAAAATTGTCTGAGATCGACCGGGAAAAAACATTTTCTTATAGAATGTGGCCTGTAGAATCCATAATTTCAAACAGTTCCAAGATTGGGCTACTAGTTCAAAAGTTACAGCCTTTTGAATTTTCTTTCGAAATTGGTTTCTAGTCTATAACTTTTGATTGAGAAGTCTGATCGAAAAAGTACGAATTGATTTGGATTCTACGCACCCAAATTAATAAGAAAAAGTGTTTTCCCGATAAATTTTGGTGTAGTCGATTTTTGGTAAAAAAGGAAGGTTATACACTGCCTTTTTTTGAGCCCCGAAAAAAAATTGTCTCAGATCAACCCGGAAAAGAAATTTTCTTATAGAATGTGGCCTGTAGAATCATAATTTCAAACAGTTCCAAGATTGGGCTACTAGTTCAAAAGTTACAGCCCTTTGAATTTTTTTTCGAAATTGGTTTCTAGTCTATAACTTTTAATTGAGAAGTCTAATCGAAAAAGTACGAATTGTTTTGGATTCTACGCACAAAAATTAATAAGAAAAAGTGTTTTCCCGAGAAATTTTGGTGTAGTCGATTTTTGGTAAAAAAGGAAGGTTATACACTGCCTTTTTTTGAGCCCCGAAAAAAAATTGTTTCAGATCGACCCGGAAAAAAATTTCTTATAGAATGTGGCCTGTAGAATCCATAATTTCAAACAGTTCCAGTTCCAAGATTGGGCTACTAGTTCAAAAGTTACAGCCCTTTGAATTTTCTTTCGAAATTGGTTTCTAGTCTATAACTTTTGATTGAGAAGTCTGATCGAAAAAGTACGAATTGTTTTGGATTCTACGCACCAAAATTAATAAGAAAAAGTGTTTTCCCGAGAAATTTTGGGGCAGTCGATTTTTGGTAAAAAAGGAAGGTTAAGTATTCAAATACTATGCGAAGTATTCGAGTACTTTACGAAGTATCCAAATACTTTGCGAAGTATTCGAATACTAAATATTTGTGAAAGTATTTGAGTTACAAATACAAATACTGCTTCCATAAAAGTAGGTATTTACTTACAAAGTATTTGAATACTTTAAAGGCTTTGAATACTAAAAAGTATTTACAAAATCGAATACTGCCCAGCTCTGCCACAGAAGCAATTATAAAACCGATCAATTATATACCCCTTTATCAGGGGGGTTCCTGACAGCACACGCCATGCTAAATTTCATGTTTTCTAAATATTGAATCTCGAATGTCCATTTTTTTGTATGTCAACCATATGCATATTTTATGTTGTCGTACAGCAATTTGATTGCTTTTTTCAATTCCTGAATTAATTAATAAACCAAAAGTTTCAACGACTTCCGGTTAAACCTGAAATGATACCGGAGATTTCAATATTCGATCAGATAAATCGTAATGTTACATAAAATTATATTTGATAAATTTTTCATAATAAAATAAATATATTGTGGTGATCCTCTCATCTTGAACGCACTGTATATAATATTGAATGATGTACTTCTGACAAGCGTCTCCTATTTTATATACGCATTTTCGCCGCGGTAAAATTTGCACAATAAAAATTTCAATGGTAGTTCACAACAATAAACAATTTTTTTTGTTACTAACATAGGCTCGTTGGTCTAGGGGTATGATTCTCGCTTCGGGTGCGAGAGGTCCCGGGTTCAAATCCCGGACGAGCCCTCCATTTTTTTTAGCGCAGAAACTGTGTCATAGATTTTTTTCTTGCAGGCACAGTCAAATTTTGGCCGCGCTTAAGACGTGGATGCCTTGGATACCGTTGAATAACGAGATAATGAGCCAACATTTGAAGCAGTTATTGGCGGTGACTTTGCCACTTCTTCGCGGAGGTGTGCAATATCCGGGAAAGGTGACACATTCCGCTGCCCATCTACTATTAAGCTTATCCAATGTAGTCTTTCCGCCTTCGCTTGTCATACTACCGACGGTAGTGGAGTATATACATATTGCTCCGGCTATGAAATACAACGGCACACATACCCGAGAGGTCGTCAACAATGCCGTATGTAATATACTGATACGGCCTTGGGGTGAACTGTCACAAGCCGACGGCACTCATAGAAACGCTTTAATTAATACTTTTTTCGATGGCCTTACTAGAGACTTCCGAGAATTGGGGCCTCATAGTTCAGAAGGTAAGGTTAGGGAGGTCATATCGCATACGCTTCCCTTACTTTCACACATAATTGAGTTTGCCAAGGATTTTCCATCTCAGTCGAAGAAACTTTTGTACATGGGAATCAAGGTAGTGACATTTTCCCGGCTTTATATACTCACAGTTTTCTTTCAGACATCAATTGATACAGCTCTACAGGTTTTTCCTACTTACTCTAGCATACCAGACGTTAGTGATCATATATTAGTACTTTTTGTAAATGTCTTAAGTGTTTTGCAGCAACAGTTGGGCGTTGAGTGCATAAAACACGCAGTCGAGGTTTTCTTAGATGTAGCCGTAAGGTGAGTTCAGATCAGAAATCGTGCCCGTATCGTCATCTAAATTTTCAGCCAACAACAATCGAAAAACTTGTCAGGTTTAGATAAGTTATTGCAAATTTTACAAATCGTAGTCGAATCCCCAGGCTCGGCGTACAAGGGTTTTTTACCTGGTATTTTACAACTCTGTATGCAACACGTTTATCCGTTGGCTATTTCTCAAGCATCTGAACATCCCGATGTGATTATTGCTCTCCTTACACTTTTGCACAGGTAAGATATCGTTATGTTTTCCAATTGGTATTTTATCAGACCAACAAATCCTTTTCCATTTGAAGTTATATTACACTCCTTTGATTTACCAACTGATAGCTTCCACTAAATTAGCAATTATATAAGCAAACAGTCTATGCCTTAGCAGCGTTTTGTGTACCAACACAAAGCAAAAATAAATTTGTCTTCTGTTGAACTTCAACCTTTTACAAAATCTTTCAGTTTAAACCACTTTTTTTTTTGTAGCATATTGGTGCACAGATGGCAATACTTTTACATATCCCAAGTGCGCTTAGGTCACTCTCCCGGCTGTAGTGAATCGGACCTCGGACCCGACAGTCCACAACAACCCGCACAACTACTCGCAGTATTACAAGTGTTCGGGCAGGCGCTAATGCAACCAGATATCAACACGTTTCGCACCAGCCTCGCCGCACTTGAAAATCTTCAAGCCAAATGGAAATTGTACAATAAGGTAGGGCATCTGATGTGCGTAATAGCGTTTGCGTTAATTTTCTTTCAGATGCTGTTTCGCCAACAACTTCTTCATCAGTTTTTAACGGTTTTGTGGCACACTTTACTAGATAGATCCCATACGCTTCTCACCGACGACATCCTGCTAGCCATTTACAATATGGCCGCCGTCAATTTTCAAGTTTTCTTTAACACATTCCTTACAGAATTTCTCGATAGTGTAAATGGACTAACTTCAACGCAAAGAGATTCTTTAAAGCAGTCCTTCAATCACGAAACGGTAAGCACACTTGCTTCGATTGCTTGCATTAACGAGTATGTTTTAGGATATGCCTACATTTATACAAAATTTTCAACGTTTTATAAATGATTTAAGGTGTTATAGAATTTGTAATGTGAGTATTCCTTTAGGTAGCGTTATACTTTAGCATATGTATTCTGTGTGATATCAGTATGTATTTATGCTCAATTTTGTTACAAAAGTGTAGAATAATGAACACACGCATTGACTTAATCAAATCAGGAAATTATTTATTACATACACTTTTTATCATAGTACATAGTGTACCTATCACATTTTTTCTTTGAATATTTATTATACTTTATATTGTAATTACTTTAATAAATAATGTATTGTATATGATATAATTAAAAAAATTATCAAGTATAATACTTTTAATTTATGCACTTATGCTTATCCATCCTTTCCCAGTGCATCCCACCCGTCAATGTACCTTCTGGCGACTATTGCCAGATTGGTACCCCTGTAATGTATATATTTTTTTAATTTTTGTAATGTAAGGAAACGGAAATATGTAAAATTTCAAACGCCATAATTTCTTACCTTTTTACTCCTTTAAGAAATCATAGGTCACTTATACATAATTCGAAAAAGGAGGATTGATTGAAACGTATATATAACAATGTTCCAACTGCAAATATTTTCTGCAATTTATGTGATGCTTTAACTAAATTTAATATCCAACTTACTATACCCAAGCATTAAATGACCCAAGTCAATCGCCAACGCTCCCATCACGGGGTGACCAAGAAGTCACTGGGTCTGCTGATCTGTGAGAAGCTGTTGTCGCATGTCCGGTCAATTACTGTTTCTAAAAAGGTATATAATAATAATAAATTGTCTTTCTGGACAGTGCATAGAATATATGCAAAACAAAATTGATTGTCACCCTCCAACGGGGCGCATGCCTATATAAATATACCTAGGTACATAGTACACGTCAAAACTTGTGTGTACCACAGGACTGCACGATAAGCTGTTTCTCACACGATCTTCAGTTCTTCAAACAGCTTGCTAATTCAAAGCGCTTCACATAAACAATCCGCCAAAGCACTGCCTTCCGATTCAGTAGAAGATAGTAGTACATTGTTTCTTAGTGGTCCAACTCCAGATGGCGTCAGCAAAACCGGCTTCTTCTACCGTTTGTAGACTAGACCATGCCGCGTACTTCTTTCTGAGATATCGCAGTATTCCCTTCAAAGAGGTACCCCCAGTGCTCCTCTGGCTGGTTAGCCTAAAAATGGCTGAAATCTTTCTTCAACTCCAGGCCTTTCACGAAGCGCCTGTGCCACAGCCAGAGCTGGGCAGTATTCGATTTTGTAAATACTTTTTAGTATTCAAATCCTTTAAAGTACTCAAATACTTTGTAATTAAATACTTTTATGGAAGCACTCAAATACTTTCACAAGTATTTGGTATTCTAATACTTCGCAAAGTATTTGAATACTTACCAAAAATCGACTACTCCAACATTTCTCGGGAAAACACTTTTTCTTATTAATTTGGGTGCGTAGAATCCAAATCAATTTGTACTTTTTCGATCAGACTTCTCAATCAAAAGTTATAGACCAGAAAAAATTCAAAGGGCTGTAACTTTTGAACTAGTAGCCCAATCTTGGAACTGTTTGAAATTATGGATTCTACAGGCCACATTCTATAAGAACATCTTTTTTCCAGGTGGATCCGAGACAATTTTTTCTTCGGGGCTCAAAGAAAGGCCTTTTTTACCAAAAATCGACTGCATTAAAATTTCTCGGGAAAACACTTTTTCTTATTAATTTGGGTGCGTAGAATCCAAATCAATTTGTACTTTTTCGATCCGACTTCTCAATTAAAAGTTATAGACTAGAAACCAATTTCGAAAGAAAATTCAAAGCGCTGTAACTTTTGAACTAGTAGCCCAATCTTGGAACTGTTGGAAATTATGTATTCTACAGGCCACATTCTATAAGAAAATTTTTTTTCCGGGTCGATCTGAGACAATTTTTTTCGGGCCTCAAAAAAAGGCAGTGTAGAACCTTCCTTTTTTACCAAAAATCGACTGCACCAAAATTTCTCCGGAAAACAATTCGTACTTTTTCGATCCGACTTCTCAATCAAAAGTCATAGAGTAGAAACCAATTTCGAAAAAAGTTCAAAGGGCTGTAACTTTTGATCTAGTAGCCCAATCTTCAAACTGTTTGAAATTATGGATTCTACGGGCCAAATTCTATAAGAAAATGTTTTTTCCCGGTCGATCTCAGACAATTTTTTTTCCTGCCTCAAAAAAAAGGCAGTACTTTTAAGTTATTCAAATAATTGAGAACAATTTAGAAATGTTTAGGGAAAGTTTCCATTGTCACAAAATCAAATATAAAAATCCGATACATCTGAATACCGAACTCGATAGTCTACGTAAGTTAAAAACAATAGGGACCTTTCTTATATCCTTAAGACCATATGTACCAATTTTCAAAGCGATCGCACGTTTCTAAACAAGTTATCATGCACTCGGACAAACGGATGGTCAAAAATGGATCTGTTCCAAAATCGCTGGGATTAATTTCAGAAAGGCGTACGTATCATGTGCACGACGTACGGTCGCTTTGAAAAGTGGCACACGTATTCCTAAGGATATAACTAGTATAAGAAAGGTCCTGGTAGGTACCTCCTATATAATAATATAATAATAATAATACGCTTTTACTCCCCTTAAATTTGTATATAACAATAGAAGTATAAAAGAGGTAACCCCACCCCATACAAAGTATAACTTGATTTTTTAAGTAGTATTAAGCCTTTTATCTAGTATACTATTTTAAATTTTTAATGTATTTGAGTGACAAGTATTTGAATACTTTTTGATAGTATTCGAATACCTTTGATAGTATTCGAATACATTCTAAAGTATTTGAATACTTATTTTTTAAAGTATTTGAATACTTTTCAATGTATCTGTATCTAGTATTCGCTTGTGCTGGACGTAAAAGTATTTAGTATTCAAATACCTTTGATTTGTGTAAAGTATTCACTATTTAGTATTCAAATACTTTTTGGAAGTATTCTGCCCAGGGGGTCGATTTTTGGCCGTACGTTTCCTTAAAACGTATACGTATTCGTAAAGAAACGTATATTTGCAATTTTTGACCATACGTTTATATTGCGTATACGTTCAATTGTGTTCGTTTTTCTGCGAGCGGGTAAATGGCGTTCGCAAACGCTCGCAACTGACGTTTTGTGGGTTATGTATTGGTTAGTGTTGAAGTTTTGACTCTTGAGACTTGAAAGGTATCTACTAACAACAATGGATGAAGCTGTGAATGTGTTTGTAATAGACAATTTAGAGAATGCCGAACGCAATTATCGCCCGAATAGGAACCGTAATCCTTGCAACCCCATAGAAGTCTTAAATGAAGCACAATTTATCAAAATGTATCGGCTACTTCTTAGTTCTTTCCATGAGTCTTGCATTTTCTTGCACGTCAAAATCGTAGTTTGTGTCCCTGCTATTACATCGGGGTGGTTTTTAGCAAACTCTACTAGCCACCTTTTTTGGTTTTGCGTGGTATTGCACCCTCGCTTTGGCGTGTCCATCGTGTTTTCAGTATTCATGCTAATCAGTGCCTAAAATATTATTATTCTTTAATTTGAAATGACTGAGCAATACCTTCACCTCACCACCTAAGCTCAAACCCAAACATCAATGAACGTCAAATAGTCCGTTTAGTTGTAATCAATCAATAAAGGCGACGTTGTCATATGCACTGTACGTTTCGGTTCCAGGCAGTTACGAACAGTAGTCAAAAATTGCATTTGGAAAATGTATACGTTTTTAAGTCTTCGTATCTAAGCGTATACGAATAGATGCGACTGGTTTCAAAAATCGACCCCCAGCTCTGGCCACAGCTCGCCATTGCTTATGGCTTTTTCAGACACCACAGCAGCCGGCTCCACGTTTAATTCGTTTTGTCTTTTGGTTTTCCTATGGCAACAAAACTTCGCTATTTCGTAAAATATCGGCACTGTTCCTCTGGAACACCACTTGCATCCCCATCAATCCGACACGTTGCATCGAAAACAACCACATGATCCGATGCGCCCAATTCGAGAATCGGCGAAACGGCATTATTCTGCGAATCGCTGTCACGTTCACTGATTGCGCGAAGATACTCCGGGTCGGGAGATCTGAGGTACCTACCCGTGTAGGGGCGGGAAAGAATACCCCTACCGCAGAGGACACTGCGTGTCGTAAAAGGCGACTAAACAACATAATTAGGCACGTGGTTGAAAGTTTTGAAGATAATTTCTAATCGCACGATTAGGGCGTTGTGCGCGGGTGTATCCTTTTGGTACCAACGGTTTGCAATTTTTGTGTGCCGTACTTAAGAAAAAATACAAACCAAATCGGCAATTTTGCCATCGTCTGAACCTCAATAAATCTTTAAGAATGCCTCATAAAGTGTTCTAAAGCTCCTTGAAACGTTTTGAATCCTTCCAAATAATTTGAGAGACGAATGATTATGATGCTCCTTACAAATCTTTTAAGCCATTGTACGTCGCTGAAGCACTTTAACCCCCCCCCCCCCCCTAACTAAAGACCACATCTGAACATTTCTGTGACAAAGTATAAAAATTGTAAATATAATTTAAGATGTACAATATTCTCAAGTCAATTTATTACATTTTTCTAATATCAACAACGTTACTTAGTTACCGTACCCTACCATTTACATAGTTACCAAATCCATTATAAATAAAACTAAGAAATAACATTATTAAATCGTAATCGTTTAAATAACTTGGTTTTTTAATCATTCTACCTACTCGTGTTATTAGGTCTATTGACATCTTCGCTTCTTTTCTAAATTTGCTAGGAATAACTATTTGCTGCCCTTTACATTACCCCATCAATTATAGTTAAGTTCATTGCTATAATTCCAAACTGGCCTTAAAGCAAAGTTAATTCCTTTTGTGGTTGGGCCATTCTTGCTTTATAAGTTCATTCAGTTTTACCATTTCCAGAACTGTCAAAGTTTCATTAGCAAAATTTTTGAGCTTATTGCTACTGATAATATAATCATAATACATAATACTAATTTGTGCATCACTTATTCTTTCATCTACTTCATAATTATTATCATCATAACTAGCTCTACTTAATGCATCTGCTAAATACAACTGCTTATACCCTACCTGGTTTATACTTTACTACAAAATCATAATTCTGTAATACGATTCTTAAACGCCGTAGTCTCAATGGACATCGATTTTTGGTTTTTTAAATACGGCTTATGATCTGTTTCAGTGTAAAAAGTTTTACCATACCAGAGCTGGGCAGTATTCGATTTTGTAAATACTTTTTAGTATTCAAATCCTTTAAAGTATTCAAATACTTTGTAATTAAATACTTTTATGGACGCAGTATTTGTATTTGTAACTCAAATACTTTCACAAATATTTAGTATTCGAATACTTCGCAAGGTATTTGAATACTTTGAGAAGTATTCGAATATTTCGCATAGTATTTTTTACCAAAAATCGACTGCACCAAAATTTCTCGGGAAAACACTTTTTCTTATTAATTTTGGTGCGTAGAATCCAAAACAATTCGTGCTTTTTCGATCAGACTTCTCAATCAAAAGTTATAGACTAGAAACCAATTTCGAAAAAAAATTCAAAGGGCTGTAACTTTTGAACTAGTAACCCAATCTTGGAACTGTTTGAAATTATCGATTCTACAGGCCACATTCTATAAAGAAATTTTTTTCTGGGTCGATCTGAGACAATTTTTTCTTCGTGCCTCAAAAAAAGGCAGTGTACAACCTTCCTTTTTTACCAAAAATCGACTGCACCAAAATTTCTCGGGAAAACACTTTTTCTTATTAATTTTGGTGCGTAGAATCAAAAACAATTCGTACTTTTTCGATCAGACTTCTCAATCAAAAGTTATAGACTAGAAACCAATTTGGAAAGAAAATTCAAAGGGCTGTAACTTTTGAACTAGTAGCCCAATCTTGGAACTGTTTGAAATTATGGATTCTACAGGCCACATTCTATAAGAAAATGTTTTTTCCGGGTCGATCTCAGACAATTTTTTTTCCGGCTTCAGAAAAAGGCAGTACTGTTAAGTTATTCAAATATTTGACAACAATTTAGAAATGTTTAGGGAAAGTTTCCATTGTCACAAAATCAAATATAAAAATCCGATACATCTGAATACCGAACTCGATAGTCTACGTAACTTAAAAACAATAGGGACCTTTCTTATATCCTTAAAACCATGTGTACCAATTTTCAAAGCGATCGCATGTTTCTAAACAAGTTATCATGCACACGGACAAACGGATGGTCAAAAATGGATCTGTTCCAAAATCGCTAGGATTAATTTCAGAAAGGTGTTTAACCCTTTTATCTAGTATACCTACTATTTTAAATTTTTAATGTATTTGAGTGACAAGTATTTGAATACTTTTGAAAGTATTCGAATACATTCTAAAGTATTTGAATACTTATTTTTTTAAGTATTTGAATACCTTTCAATGTATCTGTATCTAGTATTCGCTTGTGCTGGACGTAAAAGTATTTAGTATTCAAATACCATTGATTTGTGTAAAGTATTTACTATTTAGTATTCAAATACTTTTTAAAAGTATTCTACCCAGCTCTGAATTTAACCTTTGGTTACATTCTAATAATAATAATCTAAAACACATGATTCTCGTTTTGAACTATCACTATTGGTAATTTCATGTAATGGTTTTTGATTTAGGTATCTAAAAACTTTCACAAGGTTTTTTACATACTGTGCAGGACTTCCCATAAGCTGATGGGCAATATATCTCATGTGATAATAACCACCCTTGTTACATTTCTCTTGCTGATGGTTCCAATTGCGAGAACGCGTAGTAGGCGATCTTCCTGTTGAAGTGCTGACCTAATTACTTTGGTGTGGATGTGATTACAATCTTGAATTACCGTTCAATCTTCGATTTTTTTTATATTCACTTGTATAGCTTTTCTTATGCTGTAGATTTTCTGCAGTTTTCTTGCTTCTCACCTCATTTATGCTTCTGTCTGTAGTTCCTGTTAATGCTTGAATACTTTTTTGCCTGCTCATCCGCCTTGCTAATTCGAATAGCTTTCTCCAAACGTATAATCTCCATCAGATACAAGCAACTTATTTTTCATCTTCTCGTCACGCACCCTGCTTATAATGGCATTATCACATGCCGCTGCTAGTATTTTAAGGTCCTTTACAAAGGCGTCGAACTCTTCATTGATTTCTTGACTCCTGATGTTAAATTTTTGCCTGGCGATAGGTAGGTACTGGTCTTTCCAGCAATTTCCACGAGCCGTAGAGAATCGCATTACTTTCTTTAGTTATATAAATATTAGAGAGAGACTTTAGTGTCTCGGATATAGTAAAAACTTATGATATTCGTTAGAAAAACTGGCCACAATTTTATGACAGTTGAATTAATTCATTAAACATCATCTTAAACAACAGCCTTTATACAAATGTAATTTCCAAGGTAATTTCCGTTACTTATATTTGTTTATTTCTAACAAGAGCATATAAGTATCTACTTGCATGTATTACGCTGCTTCCAATTAATAAATCCCATCCACCCTACGAAAGGCGTAACATTTTTAGATACTCATCTGTAATTCTTTGCTGTAACTGTAAGGACTTATAGGGAGGATAGGCAGATAAGTTACATGAAATAAGACTTTATTGCATATTTATTTGAAAGACGAATCAGTTACCGTTACATTTAAAAACGTCACAAGCAATTAAGGGATGTGTGAAAATTCCAGCCACTTATCAGAATGCAAAACAAAGGGCGAGTTGTCAAAACGACATACAAATTATAATGTAACAATTACCGATAAATAATTAGAGCACTCCACGTCCTTATAACTACTGAAAATCACATACAGGATCACTGATGAACGACGGTTGTATCGGAAAGTACCATTCGGCCAATACAGAAATGTCAATTATACGTCTAACAAATGATTTATTTTATAAGTTTTTATTAAGGAATGCTTTTAATCCTTGATCTGAGATGCTGTCTACTTTTCTCTTCTGTACTCCAAAGGCGTTGCTCCTGTCGCAAGAAAGAGAACAAACATATTAGTAAAATGGATATAATATTCGACGTATACGAGAGACCGGAAAATATTAAATAACTTAAGGGCGAGGTGTGGGTGGAGAAGTGATTGACTGATTGATTGACGCGATTTTAGTATTTTAGTAGAAAGGCAAAAATTATACAGCAGGGAATTAACATTCTGTATTAAATATATGTACATATATGTATAAGGCTTTATATATCGTGCGTTTTTAAAGTTTTTTAAATAAATCCAATCCGTGATTTTAGTTAGGCGTTAATTAACGAAGAAGTGAGAAAATATGGGATCATTCCGGAAGGTTATAAAGATTCAGATGAAATCTCGCGGGGTAACTAAAGTGATTCACGGCAGGAACAAAGATTCGGTTCGAGAAATTAACATCGCAAAAGATTTTAATTTTTGCGCCAAGATTGAATCGACAGTGTGGCGTGTTTTTTATTATAAACAAAGCTGTAGAGTAGACCATTATCCAACCTTTCTTTAACACTACCCTTCTATGAAGGGATTTCAGTTCTCAAGTTTTCCATAAGGGAAGGAACCTACTGCAAGCGATTTTACGTATTCAACGTAAAAAGATGGAAATCCAGAAATTTCTACAAGCCCGTCTTCTAAAGGAACTTCTTTCAATTCTTGTCTCAACAAAAAATATGAAAATTTGAACGTGGGAACGTTAATACTTTTGGGTGATAATAATAATAAAAGATTCCTGTTGATGGAGTACGAGTGGCCTAAGTGAAGACGAAAAATTGCCATGTTCAGCATTTTTACCCGCTAGAAATGTCTGAAGATGTGGTTTTTATCTCGTTACTTAAGGGGGAAGTTTAATATCCACAGACACCCAGAATTATATCTAGAATGATTCTTGCCCATGAAGGTTCATATCAAGGACTATTCTCGCGACTTGTTTTACCTGGGTGTGTGCAAACGAAAGAGTAAGGGTTTGCATTTTCCATTCGCCACTAAGTGTGGATGCTAAACTCTTCAGATTCAACTTACCCCAATGTGTCCAGCACCTGTCGCTTAACAGCACGTCCGAATGTGCCACCCAACTCCATGGTGTTCAGTAACGGCCGCGAACTTCTTTGGAATTTATCAATATCCGTATCTTTACTAGAACACAATTGGTAAGCTAAGTGCTTCAACTCTCTGAAGCATACTCACAGTAGGTAGTCGTACTCGTGCGCCCTCTTCGCTTTGCCAAACATTCCGCCCGCAACCAAACTATCGAGGGCCGCCGCCTTTCGCTTACCATACGTGTCATCGCGGTTTGAAATTCTGTAAAGACACCTCTTTGGAAGATGAATGCGTTTAAGAACACTTACTTGAACCTTTCGAGTCGCTTAGCGATGCCAAAGGAACCGGTTGCACCCAAATTATCTGCAAAGTTTTGTAGTCGCGTATCCACGAACTCGCAATCACCATTAAATCGACAACCTGTGGATAACAGGTCTGATTAACTTAGGCACAGAAACTACCCCTTAATAATTGTTTCTAAAAAAAATAGGATCGATGGTAAATAAATCAGTGAACGCAATCGAAGAGAAGCTTTATTTGGGATCATGTGATTAAATATTACTCGATTATCATAGCATTCGTCCTTTCTCGGTTAAATAGTCTTTTAGCGCACGTTCGTTCACGTTCGGTTCTCTAACTTGATTCAAATTCCGCCCTTTTCCACTATTGTACAAATACCCATTTACACCTAAATTTCGCCCTATTAAATGACCACCGCCGATTTCGTCCAAACTCCGTCCAATTAGATACCCGCCACCAATTTCGTCCAAAGTACGTCCGATAAGATGACCCCCGCCAATCTCGTCCAAGTTTCGCCCAATTAAGTGACCGCCACCGATTTCATCCAGGCTCCTTCCCTTCAAGTGACCACCGCCAATTTCGTCTAAACTTCCTCCAAGTACGCGATCGCGTCCGATCTCGTCCAAACCTCTTCCAATTAAGTGCCCTCCGCCAATTTCGTCCAAAGATCTGCCCCTTAAATGGCCCCCGCCAATTTCGTCCAAATTTCGACCAATCAGATGACCTCCGCCGATTTCGTCTAAGCTTCGTCCATTTAAATGATCGCCGTCAATTTCGTTACTATTGTCCAGCATTTTCACTTGGTTTCTCAAATAGTTGCCGAATTGATTTCGATGTCCTAAACAGGGTAATATTGATTACCTACATTTGTACAGCTGGACATTTTATTAACGTATTTTCACTTGAATGAAAAGCATACGGCACAGCTGCAAACGAAGTCAGAAGCAATTGCAGTAAGTAGACGGATTACTTTCACAGAATGGATCTTATGCCCCACACAACATCTGCCATCGTATGTTGCTCATTCTAATTTGCTTTCCTTCTACAAAGTATTATTCCCCATTGGCATCCACATAGAGATGTATACTTTTAATTACAGCTGTTCATACAATCTCCCCAAAGAAAACTTCCAAACTTACACAAACGTTACATTTAAAATTTAAAACCATATGCCTTTTTTACTCGAAGCGTGTTAAGATTGTTTTCAACATAAATAATTTTGCCAGTATTTGCTAAGGACAACAGAATTAAGCATTCAAAGCGAAAGCAAGAGCAGAGCATATCATACTTAATTACTTACCATCGTTCTGTCCTAAGGGGTATCTCCTCCCGTACTCCTGGAAAGGAAAAATAATATAAATATTTGATTTTTTGTGGGGCTTATCCAACACGAAATGAGCTTCTTCAAGTCAACTACTTAGCTTAGTAGCAAATTGGAAGATTAATTACACCCTTATAGGCGTTACAGCTATTCATTAATTAATGTGGTGGAGTGAGTGAACCTTTGCTATACGGTGTGTCCTAGATAAGAATCAACAGCATGGGGAAATCGGAAACCATAAAGATAGACAATCGGGTACATTACGAAAAAAAATGCGTATTTTATGGCCTAGTAAAATTATGTATTCAAAATTTGAAAATAAAGATCAATTCCGTGGATATTCAATAAACACCAAAATTAACCATATTCGTCTTTATTTTCGCCTCTCGCCAGGAAAGATACACTTGATCCCGGTCTACAATCTATGTTTTTCTAAAGATGTGAGCGACTTCCGGGGTAGTATCGTGTCAATTTTGAAAGAAAAGACTTTTCGTTTAACATTGGCACGATCTTATTCCGGAAGTCGCTAGCATCTTAAGAAAAACATAGATTGTATATCGACACAAGGTGTGCTGTGACCGGCAATCTTTCCTGGCGAGAGTAATATGTCATTAAAAGGAGCCACGAATGAATTCTTTGACATTTTGTCAACGCTTACTACACCAAAATGTTAAAAATTTAATAAGTCTTCTTTTCTGACTTATAGTAAACATTTATCGCTGATGAACCTTAATCTCCATTTGTGTAACCTAGATTAAGTCCGATCTTTTGAAGGTCCCAATGTTCCTTCTGGTTTGTTTTAAGGTTTTTAATCCGATCAAATAGGAAATCGAATATTCTAGAAATGCCGATAGACATGTTTGTTCGAGAACATTCTAGAATATTCGGGAGGGGTAGCTCTCATTTACGATTTTGTGTTTATTGAAAGCATAGAGTTTTCAACTTTTAGACATCTAATTTATTCACTTAAGACAGGAATATTCGCGTCAATTGAATAAATCGAGGAGATATCGACATTCTGCTCGGTAAACATCCAGATGTATGAGAAGAACGTTTCACAGTTTCCAAATGGCGAGACTATAATAGTCTTTACTATATTTTTGGGTAGTTTCTGATCTCTACCCCTTACTGTAATTAAAGTAGCGTAATTTTTCTTACTCCTTACTTTCAGAAATATTCATTTTTCTATCGATTTAACACAAGATCAATTTCTATGACTATTTTAGACGCAAGTTTTTGCTATGTTTTTTTATAGTTCCTTCACTGTACCTCTTAATATAATCATAGACCAATATAATCATAGGAGCGTCTGCTACCTCCTCAGCTACCACCTTCCCGTGAATCGTCTTAGTCTTTAAGATCCCCATTCATGATAGACATCAATTTTTAGACGCTGTATATTTTGATAGTAAATAAAATGGATGATTAAGGTAGTATAAAATACAATGTTTATGATTACAATGAACAATAGATGTTCAAAGTGGCCTCCATTGTTGTCTATGCACACCTGATACACCCTCTCCAAATAGCTAACCATGTGTAAAGTGCAAAAAATCGTTAAAAAATGCAACTATTATACAACATTATATATTTGTAATCAAGAAACACAGGGCTACTCAAAACTATAAATATATACACGGTGTCACATTAAAGATATTGAATACGTATTTTGTTAAGTACTCTCCGTCTATTGAATTCAATCAGTTACTACATTTTTAGTCTGTACAGATAAAGTACTAAAACTTTAATTTGAAACTTTTTTTGTGTTCCCACAATTAATAAAATTAAGTGGGGGTCAAATGTACCGAGAAAACCTGTACAATTAGAATGTAAAAACAGCTTATTAAGAACTACAAACATGTTCCTAAAAAATTGAGGAGCTTTACTTTGTAATGAATATTTTTATTTATTTTCTTAAATAAAACCTTTCAATTCAGTTTCATAGATGAAAAAACCTCAAATATAACTGTAACTAGTCAGTTTGTGTAGTTTTTTGGTGGTCACTTAGCGTCATTTACCCCACAAGAAATAAAGAAGTTCAATAAACCCACATAGTACAACCAGATGCTACATGCGAAGTATTTAAATTTTGATCGCCATTCGCCCTTCTGCAGAGTGCTTTAAAATTAATGGTCAATTTAAACCTTAAAAAGTTGATTTTCTCAAATGAAACCTAATTTATTTTTTTGAACTGAATTCGAAAAAGAAACGGTAACATTTTCCTTCGATAGAGCATAAAAACTATGTTGGTATGCAAATTTGCAGATTTAAATCATTAGTGGAGGTCTGAATAGGTAACGGTTTGCGTGAAACAGCCTGTATAGATTTGATCCTAGCGCTGAAAAGGTAGTGGTACAAAATTTGGTATCCGCGGTGCAAATAAGTACAAGATTTGGGAATCGTACTACTGGGGGTTAAATTACTCCCATAGGTACAGTGCCACCAGAGATCTTTCTACGCTTCGTAAACTTGCATTTAAAACATTAGTTTTTCGGTTACTTAGCAACTTATTGTTTATTTAAAGTTTTAAGGAAGATACCGTTATTTATATTTTTAAATGCGTATTTCTCCTGCTAGCGGTCATCGCACGCCAATGAAGATACTTTCCAGCAGCTTTGTCACATTATAATTAAATTATGGGCTACGGTATTAATACCGAAATTACATGTGTAACGAAATCGACGCTTTACGTTTACGGAATTCAATGGTAACACAAAAGAAAGTAATTACGCAACCTGTTTTCTATAACCCTTTAGTTTAATTTCTTGTTAAACAAACCGAAAGACAACCATTCCGCGGATCTAAGTCAACGTTTCATTTAGCAAAGCACTACTACACCCTACAGCTATAACCATTAGATACAGTGTTTCAGCGCGTGTTTTTAATTCTCAGCGGTAAATCCTATGAACAACACGCCTCAATGATTAATCGAACTTAACTTCCCAAAGAGCAATTACACAAGCTCTTTCAGTATTTCATATTTAAGCTGGCTTTAACTGTAAATTAGAAATCAATTTCCCGCAACTGAACACATTTTGACATGATGTACCCCCCTATTCTAATTTTACGATTGAAATAACTAACCATTTTTCCGTTTTTGACGGTTATAATTTCTATGCTCTAGTGATTTTTGTGATACATAATTTATTTAACCTGAGCTTCTCCACAATTTGGAGTTGATTCCTCTTTATATGTGTAACTTTAACGTATCTGGCGTGGAAAGGTTACTCACTGTCGATTTGGATTTTAGTCCGAAATATTCAGAAAGAATGTTAGCTGTTAGGTCAATAAGAGGGTGTTTTTAATATCGTTTATACTCCAAATAACAAGAATGGAAATGCAATAGGTATCTAAAGTATATTTGTTGCATGTTGCAAGAAAACCAAGACATGCAGAATTCCAGAGATCCGAACAACACAAAAAAATAAAATTTCAACCCCTACACTATCGTCTCTAATTAACTTAGAGGTACAAGTAAAAAACCTTACTAATATACAGTTATAAGCTTAGTTGGAAAGTGCGAAACTGAAAATGAGCACTAAGTATAACGATATTATACGACGGGGTTCAGATAGTAACCGACACCTCCATAGAACTATAAAGTAAACCAAAATAACTTTGAAGTCAAAGGGGAATTTATAGCTCTATATCTATTTTCAACTAAGTAAAATGAGATTTTTGTTAAGGAAAAGCCCTTTCATTTCCAGTAGATTATAGGAATAAGCTACCTACTGCTAATGCAAGTGAAGCTGCTAGAAAAAGGCCATTTTGATTGTTGAAGTAAACGTACCTCGGAAGTTTAATTAAAACGATTATTTACATACCAAATACCTACATCTCCGTGAAATTTATACTTTCATCCCGTCAACTATTCTAAAACTGATCGGGCTCGATAATAAACATTGGATTAATTTTGCTTGCCAGCAACGACCCGCTTACGCAATTAACAGGGCGGATCTGTGGGAATCGTGAATTTGTTGGTATCTTTTATTTATATTATGCGTGCTTTGCCGTAATATTGTAGGTTGTTGACAAGAACGAGGAGTTCAAACGAAAGAAACTTCAGTTTACATCCGCTTTTTAATAGGTACTTTACCTCTTTAGTTAGGTCTTTGTAGCTTGAGTAATTAATGCTCGATTGATTTTTTTGTACATGAAAGCCCAATTAACGGACTCTCGGAAGACTTGTTGCCTCAAATTGTTCAGTGTTTTCCATAATATTAGCACCAAGCTGCAGGAGATGGCTTCGGTTCAATTTTAGCATTCAAATTTAAAGTTTCCGAATCGAATTGACATATTTACGAATGGAAAAGCTCACGTAATTTCTACAGGTTTGTGTTCAAGCAACCCTACAATAGGGAATATGCATGTATTTTTTTTAAATGTTTAATTCACTTTTTACATCGTTCTAGCATAGTAAAGAGTGTTAGAAAAATTCAAATTTATCTGTAATAGTTATTTGTACAATTATAGAGAAGAAAGTGTTTCTTCTTAAGTTTTACACATAATTTTTTTCTGAAACTACGATCAAAATTGAAACATTATCGTATGCAAAAATGAAGTTTGTCACATAGCAATCTAGATACGGATATGTTTAAATTTTAAATGTCATGATTAAGATTAATGCGGCAATTGTTTTTTACTTTCCTCACTAGAGAGGAAAAGCACATTTTCCTCGCCCTTTTTAGATACGAAAGTAGTTTCAGAAAAAATAGTTTTTAAAACATTGATTACATTTTACATGTTTATACGATGATTTTTCTAAGTTGCTCGAAAACGAATCGACCGATTTTAAAAATCACATCAAAATAAAGGACTTCGAAAGACCTTTCAAATAAGCTATTACTCGATACCATTTGTCATTTACAATTGTTAAGGGATGAAACTACTATCAAAATTGGAACATTATCGTATGCAAAAATGAAGTTTGACACATAGCAATCTAGATACGGATATGTTTAAATTTTAAATGTCATGATTAAGATTAATGCGGCAATTGTTTTTTACTTTCCTCAC